AAAAAAAAAAAGATAAACATTTAGTTGCACTCCTCAAGAAGAAAAAAGAGAACTGAAATAAAGTAAGAAATGAAGGAGGAAAACTAATGACAGATACCACAGATACAAAAAAGAATTAAATACTGTGAACAGGTATATGTCAACAAACTACAATCTAATAGACAAATTTCTAGAAACCTGAGCCTGTCAACACTGAAAGAGAAGAAACCAATTTGAGCACATGGATCAATAGTAACAAAATTGAATTTATAATAATAAAAAAAGTCTCAGCAAACAAAAGTCTAAACCAGATGATTCCATAGAGGAATCTACCAGAAATAATAATAACTAGTAGTTATCCTTCTCAAACTATTGAAAAAAACTGAAGAGGGAAAAACACTCCAAAATTCATTCTATAAGACTATCATGACCCTGATGCCAAAACCAGACACTACCAAAAACACAGAAGTTACAGGCCAATATTCTAGATGAATGTAGATGCAAGAATCCTCAATAAAATATTAGCAAGCCAAGTTAAATAATATATAAAAAGGTTCATACACCATGATCCATTTGAATTTATTCCAGTGTTATAAGGATGGTCTCAATATTTTCAAATCAATCAGCATGAAACATCACATTAACAAAATGAAGGATTGAAATCATGCAATCATCTTAGTAGAAGGAAAACAGCATTTGACAAAATTAATATATTCTTTTATAAATACTCAATATAATAAAGGTCCTTTATTACAAAGCCATAGCCAGCATCAACTCAATGATGAAATTCTAAAAGTCTTCCACTAAACTGGGGCTTCCCAGGTGGCCATAGTGATAAAGAGTCTGCCTGCGAATGCCAGAGACTCAAGAGTTGTGGGTTTGATCCCTGGGTTGGGAAGATCCCCTGGAGGAGGAAATGGCAACCCACTCCAGTGTTCTTCCCTGGGAAATCCCATGGACAGAAGAGACTGGCAAGCTACTGTCAATGGGGTTGCAAAGAGTCAGGACAGTTTACACACACACATACACACACACACACATACACACTAAGTAACAAGACAAAGATTCTCACTCTCACCAATTCCATTTAACACACTATTGGAAATCCTAGTTATAGCAATCAGACACAAAAATAAATTATATATATTATATATAAATATATATATAAATTATATATAGTATATATAAAAATTATAAATATTATATAATTATACTGAATCACTATGCTGTATATTTAAAATAATTTAATATTGAAAATAAGTTCTACTTCAATAAAAATAATTTAAAAAGGGAATATTATACCCATTAACTGCAAAATATTACCTTGAAGCATTCTGACTGACACTGTTGAATCAAAGTAAAGAAGTATCTGTGGATTTCAGAATATATGATTCCCTTTCAGAGTGTAGTATCTATATATTGCTTGTGTCAGCTGGAATTTCTATATTTCTCTGAGAAGTACATTTATATATCTCTGCAAGTCTCACATTATTTTGTAGAATATCTATGAATATCTCTGATATCTGTATGCATTCTTGTATATCAACTCTCCTGTGATCCACAGTGTCCTGAATAATTTTCTATCATTATTTTCTAATATTTACTGGTATCATTTATTTATATAATTTTGCATATATTTATGTAATTGTATAGATAATTCAAAATTAATTTCATCAAATCAAGAACTCTCCCTCATCATCTTTGTATTCCAAGCCACAGAGCTTACTACTTGGAAAACAGAAAGTATTCAAAAATTTTTTGAGTGAATGATGAATGTCTGAACTTTCTTCCACAAATCTACTTTCATGGACAGAAAGATTAATAGACACTTCATTTTTCACCAAGTTTTCCAAAAATGAAACTCAGTGTTAATAATTTCAAAATAAAAAAGCAACTAGTTATCACAATTGATGCCCTATATCATAAATCAGAAGAGTCAGCATTCAATCATAAAATTAGGGTGGTAAATATAATCTGAGATTGAGTCAAACAGGGGAAGACAAATAATGATTTTTAAGATGTGGTGAATTGTATTCCTTTTAGGCAAAGAATAGGCAGTCATAGAAAGGACAGTTACTTTTTTTTCCCCAAAAGATTTGAATTCTATTAATTAGTTAGTGATTTACTTGCTCTAAATTCTGACAAATGTTTATCTCTTACACTTTCATTTATCTCTTCTTTAAAAAACATATAAAGTATTATAATGCCTACAAAATTTAATCTGTAAAATGTGTTAAGAAAAATATGTATGTGTGTTTTACAGTTTTGTCAAATGTTAATCTCATTTCTTGTATGATTTTAATTTTTTTTAATTTTTAAACTTTTTATTTTTTATTGAGGTATGGCTGATTAAAATGTTGTGATAGATTCAGGTGAACAACAATGGGACTCAGCCATATATATATATGCACCCATTCTTTCCCAATACTCTCTCCTACCCAGGCAGCCTGGCACACAACATTGAGCAGAGTTCCATATGTTATACAGTAGGTCCTTATCAGTTATCTAGTTTGAATATAGCAGTGCATCACCAAATTCCAACAGGTTACTTCGTAGATATCAACAAAGCAATTCTGAAGTTTATCTAGAAAGAATATTCTTACATTCTTCCCCACTCACATACAAACACAAAATCTTACAATGAATCACAGACCTAAATGTAAAATGCAAAATTATGAAAGTCCTAGAAGCCTAAAGGAAAATCTACATAAAAAATAATAATCCATTAAAGAAATAATTGATAAGTTGGATTTCATGAAAATTGAAAATATTTGCACTATGAAAGGATATGTTAAGAGAATTAGAAAACAAATCAGACTTAAAAAATTTACAAAATATACATCTAAAAAAATACTATATCTACCATATGTAAAGAATGCAAAAACTCAGCAACAAGAAAACAGATTTTAAAAATGGGCCAGAGACTTCAACATATATTTTACTAATGTAGATATGCAGTTGGTAAAAAAAGCATATTAAAAATTCTGTTACTCTTATGTTATCAGGGAAAGACAAGCTTAAAATGCAATATGATACTACTTTATACCTATTAATGACCAGCATCTGAAATACTGACAACACCAAATGCTGGTCAGGATAAAACGAGAATTCTCATTCTTTGCTTGTGTCAATGCAAAATGGAACAGATACTTTGAAAAACAGTTTGCTAATTTCTTAGAAAACTAAACATAGGATCCAACAATTGTACACTTTGGTATTTACCCAAAAGAACTGAGAATTTATGTCCATATAAAATCGACACACACAAATGTTCATAGTAACTTTATTCATAATTGCCAAAACTGGGAAGAACTAAATGAATGGATAAATATACTGCAGTATATCCAAGCAATAAAATATTATTCAGCACTAAAAAGAAGTGAGCTATCAAAGCCATGGAATTATATTGAAGATACTTGAATACAAGTGAAACAACCTGAAAAACTATATTCTGATTCCAGCTATATGACAGTAAGGTCACTGGTCCTATTCCATAAAGTTGATTTAAGAATCTGTTTCTATATTAAGGAAATAAAAAGTACTTATTTTTTGCCTACTCTGTGACCTTTATATGCAATCTCTGATTCTTACAATTCTTTAAAGCAGATGACACTGACTTCCATTTTACATATGAGTGATCTATAGCTCAGAGAAGTTAGCTTAATTGCTTGAGGAACACAGCTGATATCTGCAAACTACATGATATTCTGCATAAGATAAAACTATGGGGACAATAAAAAGTTAAGTGGTTGCCACTGTTGAGTTGCCAGAATATGAGTTGATGAATTTGGTAATCACAGAGGATTTTTAGGATCAAAAAAAAAAAAAAAAAATCTCTGTGTGATACTATGAGATGAATTTATATTATCATATATGTGTCTGAACCCATTTAACGTACAACACCAAGAGTGAAGAGTCGTGTAAATTATGGTTTTTGAGTCTGTTGTGTCATTGTATGTTCATTAATTGTAAAAAAATTCATTATGCTGTTCAGTGATTTGATGATGGATGAATCTATGGCTACTGCTGCTGAGTCACCTCAGTCGAGTCCGACTTTGTGCGACCCCATAGACGGCAGCCCACCAGGCTCCCCCATCCCTGGGATTCTCCAGGCAAGAACACTGGAATGGGTTGCCACTTCCTTCTCCAACGCATGAAAGTGAAAAGTGAAAGTGAAGTCGCTTAATTGTTTCCGACTCTTAGCGACTCCGTGGTCTGCAGTCTACCAGTCTCCACCGTCCATGGGATTTTCCAGGCAAGAGTACTGGAGTGGGATGCCATTGCCTTCTCCGTGAATCTATGGAGAAGGGTGTATATAGGAATTCTCTGTAACTTTCTCTCAGTTTTACTAGGAACCTGCTCTAAAATAATATCACAAATGTATGGTGGTGTTTTTCAATTTTCAGATGTGATTTATAGCCTCAGTGATATGGAACCAAGCATATTGGTGACCATTGTATTTTTACAGTCCTCAAAAGCAGCTCTAATACATCATTAAGATACATCATCAAAATACATCATTAAAAAGTGTGAGGGTTGGAGACGCACGCTGCTGACCTCGTCTTCTTCGTGCAGCCCTCACCACTGTCTGGAGAACTTTCTTTCCCCTGGGCACAGTGGCAACTCTTAAGGACAAACTGATTGCACCAGTTGAGGAAGAAGAGGGAACAATCTCAAACAATAAGATCACTGTAGTGGGTGTTGGACAAGTTGGTATGGCATGTGCCATCAGCATTCTGGGAAAGTCTCTGACTGATGAGCTTGCTCTTGTGGATGTTTTGGAAGATAAACTCAAAGGAGAAATGATGGACCTGCAGCATGGGAGTTTATTCCTTCAGACACCAAAAATTGTGGCAGACAAAGATTACTCTGTCACTGCCAGTTCCAAGATCGTGGTGGTAACTGCAGGAGTTCGCCAGCAAGAGGGGTAGAGTCGCCTGAATTTGGTGCAAAGGAACGTTAACGTCTTCAAGTTCATCATTCCTCAGATAGTCAAGTACAGTCCTGACTGCATCATCATTATGGTTTCCAACCCAGTGGATATTCTCACATATGTTACCTGGAAACTAAGTGGATTACCCAAGCACCGTGTGATTGGGAGTGGATGTAATCTGGATTCTGCTAGATTTCGCTATCTTATGGCTGAAAAACTTGGCATTCATCCCAGCAGCTGCCACGGATGGATTTTGGGAGAACATGGCGACTCAAGCGTGGCTGTGTGGAGTGGAGTGAATGTGGCAGGCGTTTCTCTTCAGGAACTGAATCCAGAAATGGGAACAGACAATGATAGTGAAAATTGGAAGGAAGTGCATAAGATGGTGGCTGAGAGTGCCTATGAAGTCATCAAGCTAAAGGGATATACCAACTGGGCTATTGGATTAAGTGTGGCTGATCTTATTGAATCCATGTTGAAAAATCTATCCAGGATTCACCCAGTGTCAACAATGGTGAAGGGCATGTATGGCATTGAGAATGAAGTCTTCCTGAGCCTTCCATGCATCCTGAATGCTCGAGGGTTAACCAGTGTTATCAACCAGAAGCTGAAGGATGAAGAGGTTGCCCAACTTAAGAAGAGTGCAGATACCCTCTGGGGCATCCAAAAGGACCTAAAGGACCTGTGACTTCTGGCTGCGAGGCTGTAGAAACTTAAAACTACAGTTTGATTAACCACAAGCCTTTAGTTTGCGTCCATGTACATGGAGCACAGTTCCCTTTTGTCTTCCTAAGTCTGTAAATCTAGGCTCTCAGAATCAAAGCCCATGATGGCTATTAAAGCTTGCAAGATAAGTCCTTGAACAAATAAAATAAACCACCTAGCGTAAAAAAAAAAAAAAAAGTGTGAGGGTAAAAAACAAAGCTTTTACTTTACCACTCTGTGCTAACTTAGCTTTGAATAAGAATATATTTACGAAAGCAAACTCATTTAAACTTTGAAGTTTAGAAACATAATTTTATTCAAACTCCAATTTTAATATTTATCACAGATAATCTTAATTATCCTAAAGCAGTAAAAAGGAGTTACTAATATTTACCTCACAATAATAATTTAGGTCCAAAAGAAAAAAAAAAGCACAATATTTTGTGAAACTTCTTTGTAAGGTATATAGTGCTATATTTACAGATTCATAAGGCCAATTGCAGAGGGTGCAGGATAGTCATATGAGGTCTAACTAAAAATAACATTTTTCTATATAAGAGGAGTAAAAAGTTTTGTTTAGAATCTATACAAATCTATACAAATATTCTAGAATATCAGTGCAAATATAAAGCATGTATAACACTCTGGATGGAAACCTCATGACATGACTTTATGATTCAAGGAGACATAATGAGTTAACTATAATTTTATATATTTTGGGCTTATGAAGAGTTTGCTGATCTATCTTGCATTATTCAGACAAAGCAGTATGCTTTGCTCTTTGCTCCTGGCTTTTGGCATTGGGATCTTGAGTATGAAGCACCCCCTTTAACCTTCTAAACTGATTATCTTACTACCTTTTCTTTTTTTATGACAAAGCATAAAGTCACCAAGAAAATATGTGTAGCTCAGTTTTGTATAAAGCAAAGCATAATGTCATAGTCATCCAAAGGCACTTGGAAATTAGCAGAAGCAAACTGTTCCTGAGCATTTCCAAAAATACTGCCTTCCATTTATTTAACATAATTCCTCATAGTCTTGGGCTTTCCAGGTGGGCACTAGTGGTAAAGAACCCACCTGACAGTGCAGGAGACATAAAAGATATGAGTTTGATCCCTGGGTCAGGAAGATCCCCTGGAGGAGGGCATGGCAAACCACTCCATTATTCATGCCTGGAGATACTTATGCACAGAGGGGCCTGGTGGGCTACAGTCTATAGCGTCACAAAGAGATGGACATGACTGAAGTGGCTTAATGTGCACTCATGCCTCATGGTGTTGACATGAAGTTGACTCTTGAACAACAGGGTTTTGAACTGAAAGAGTTCACTTATATGAAAAGATTTTCAGCAGATTTACAGTTGACCTTCCATATTTGTTGTTGCACATCCACAGGTTAAACCAACAGTGGATTGTGTCCATATTTATGACCTTTAGTTGGTTGAAATCCTAGGATGCAGAATCCACATTTTCTGTGGATCAACTGTGGTACATGAGCATTCCCAGATTTTGATATGTTCATTGGGTCCTGAACCATCCATGGACACCAAGTTCAATTTAGTCACTCAGTTGTGTCCAACTCTTTGCAACTCCATGGATAGCAGCTTTCCAGGCTTCCCTGTCCATCACCAACTCCCAGAGCCTACTTAAACTCGTGTCCATTGCCTTGGTGATGCCATCCAATCGTCTCATCCTCTGCCATCCCCTTCTCTTCTTGTCTTCAATCTTTTCCAGCATGAAGGTCTTTTCCAATGAGTCAGTTCTTTGCATCAGGTGGCCAAAGTATTCAAGTTTCAGCTTCAGCATCAGTCCTTCCAATGAATATTCAGGACTGATTTCCTTTAGGTTGGACTGGTTGGATCTCCTTGCAGTCCAAGGGACTCTCGACAGTCTTCTCCAATACCACAGTTCAAAAGCATCAATTCTTTGGCACTCAGCTTTCTTTATGGTCCAACTCTCACATCCATACATGACTACTGGAAAACCATAGCTTTGACTAGACAGATCTTTGTTGGCAAAATAATGTCTCAGCTTTTTAATATGCTGTCTAGGTTGGTCATAACTTTTCTTCCAAAGAATATCTTTTAATTTCATGGCTTAGTCACCATTTGCAGTGATTTCTGAGCCCCCCAAAATAAGTATCTTACTGTTTCCATTATTTCCCCATCTACTTGCCATGAAGTGATGGGACCGAATGACATGATCTTAGTTTTCTGAATGTTGAGTTTTAAGCCAACTTTTTCACTCTCCTCTCTCACTTTCATCAAGAGGCTCTTTAGTTTTTCTTCTTTCTGCCATAAAGTAGTGTCATCTGCACATCTGATGTTATTGCTATTGCTATTGCTATGCTATTGCTATTGCTATTGCTATTTCTCCCAACAATCTTGATTCCAGCTTGTGCTTCATCCAGCCCAGCATTTCGCATGATGTTCTCTGTATTTAAGTTAAATAAGCAAAGTGACAATATACAGCCTTGACGTATTCCTTTCCCAAGTTGGAACTAGTCAGTTGTTCCATGTCCAATGCTAACTGTTGCTTTCTGACCTGCCTACAGTTTTCTCAAGAGGCAGGTCAGGTGGTCTGGTATTCCCATCTCTTTAAGAATTTTCCACAGCTTGTTGTATTCCACACAGTCAAAGTCTGTGTGGATACCAAGACACAACTATAATTCTCTCATCTACTCATTTTGAAATGATTCCACTAGGCTGATGACATCAAGAGCCTCATGTTTCCATGTTACTGGTAACAAACAGGATGGTATAGATTGATGAAACTCTATGCAAGTTTGCTACAGGTGAGTTTCAACCTCTTGCTGAATTCTCCATTGTTCAATGGAGACTAAATTACTAAATTATTAGCATTGTAAATAAAACTTTGGGGAAGATTAAAAGATAAAATTCCTGGTTGTATCTATTTATTGTTTGGTTTAGTTTGAATATGCTTTTGAAAATGACTATGATGGAGGACTTTTAATCATAATGATAAAAAAGCAAAATTCTAAAATCAGTAAACATTTTTATGTAGAGCATTTTCCTTCTGGATTTCTTTTATATACTTTATTATATGATTCTTCAAAAACTTAATTAAAATATTTGAACATTATTCTGTACATATTCTATGGAAACTATTTGTTTTACTTTTCTTTTTGTTTCCTATAAAAAGTTGAATCATCTATATTTGGATTCTCTGCAACACCTCCCACCTCCCCCCTCCACACATGCATACACAAACACTCAGCATAAATCAGCTGTGAAAACACTGGGGATAGTGTATGGTATAGCTGAAAGTTAGCTTGTTAAAGCTATGTATTGAGGTGAAAGGAATATCCTATTGCTTGAAAGAATGCATTGGTTATGCAAAAGGAAATTAGAACTATGAAATACATTTGATGACAATTTTCAACTTAGAGTTTCTGGCCCTTGCTATTGCTGTCAGAGACAGAGTTCTCATCAATACAGGAGGCTTATTATAGAATATACAGGACACCTAGATTGAATCAGGACTTTAGCTCTACCTTTTAAAGTAAATGTTATTATATCAAGCTCTTCAGATATAGACATTGATATGGATATATATTTATATAGTTATATTTGAAGTGTGGGTATTGTCAGGGATATCTTTGTTCCAAAGTCATAGGAGCAAAAAATGGGTTATAAGGAAAATGATTAAGAGGTATGCATGAAATCTTAGGCATTAATTCCAATGTTTATCCTTATACCATTAATTAATGACCAAATAAGGACTTCCCAGGTGGCTCAGTGTTAAAGAATCTGCCTGCCAATGAAGGAGATGAAGGAAGCATGGGTTCGATCCCTGGATTGAGAGGATCCCCTGGAGTGGGAAATTGTACCTCCCTTCAGTATTCTTGCTGGGAGAATCCCATGGACAGAGGAGCCTGGTGTCCTGCGGTCCATGGGATAGCAGAGTCTGATACAACTTAGCGACTGAGCATGCACACATGCACACAATGACTGAATAAGACATTCTCTCATCTTGACACTCTACGCTTGAGAGTCTTCTCCCTTGATAGGTAAAAGACTTGTGATTGTACCCTGAAACAAGTATGAGATTCATTTGCTTGTAAACGGCTTTAACTCTTAACTTCTCTTTCTCATCCTCTTTGTTCTTTGAGAGTAGTTAGAAGTGAAAAACAATTGTGCTAGATCAGATCAAATCTGTGATTTTCTACAGCTAAGGAGATCACCAATTTGCTATTTTCCCAACTAGATCTCTATCTCAGGTCCTGCCAGTGCTCTTCTCTGTGCTAACATTTCTGACCATACTATAAATGCAAAACCATCAGAAGCTCAGTGTTGTTTTTTACTTAGCAAATTATCTTATCCTAAGTATGCCATAAATCCATACTATGGTACTCATGCTCAAATAGTCTGCCCAAATCACTGCAATGTGGTGTTATCTGAAAACCCACTAAACTATAACGACTGATCTCCCTCAATCATAGCAGCACAGTGAAGAGTTGATTTTTTTGTTGTTGTTCCTTGGATATGACATTTTTGCAGAAGCTCAATATGATATAGTCACCAGGATTAAACAGCTTTTAACCTTGGAAGGAAGAAATAATCAAGGAATGTATACAATTGAGTAAAATTTGAGTTTATCCTTGATTGTAAGAGTAGGCTTATTATTAACCATAACAAAAAGAGTTGAAGAATTCTTTTTTAGTAAAGTAGAAGATAGGCATTCTTAAAAGTGTAACAAAAATGAAAGTACTTTGTGTTAATATTTAAGGTTAATGTTTTTTTCTTTTTCTAATTATTTTTAAAAATTGAACTACAGTTAATTTACAATGTTATTTTAGTTCCAGGTATATGTCAAAGTGATTCAGCTATCTATATATTATATATGCATATGTATTTATACACAAACATATATATAAAACACTTTTCAGATTATTTTCTGTTATAAATGATTATTGCAAACTGTTATAAATGATTATTATAAATGATTATTATTAAATACAGTT